ATAATACTTGGTATTATATGTTATATATTCAGTGTTAATAATACTTTGTGTTATATATTATAGATTCAGTGTTAATAATACTTGGTATTATAGATTCAGTGTTAATAATACTTGGTATTATAGATTCAGTGTTAATAATACTTGGTAGTACATGTTATGTTTATTCAATTTTTTTTTCTTTATCTAATAAATAAAATTTTGTAATTCGGTAACTTTACTGACTTTTCGTGTAAACGTTTAGAATATCGAAGCTGCTTTATTATCCCAAACAATCCAAGTAGTTATATTTATTTTTTAATCATGTAATAGATCACTCAGCTCAAAATCGATCACAATCCCTTTGCAAAAGGATTCCGTGATGCGGGGGCCGGGAAAAGAGAGAAAAAGTGAGTATACGTACCCTCCAAACCAGATAGTTTATTTTACCGTTTCTACAACAAACTTTTCTACGTCCCTTGTGGATGTTTTGTATTCACTTGTTTTTCTCCAGTTAAGTTGAAAATGTTGCTACTTCGTTATATATCTTTCGACACGTAAAGCTAATATACTTATGTTTTTAGTTGAACCGTGTTTTAACGTGAAAGGAAAGCACTGAGGTCAAGTACGGGTAACCGAGACCTGAGTTTAGATACATGATAGGATATTGTTTAATGTGGTTGTGCTCTCTGTTTCTTTAGAAAGTCTTATATGATGCAGTGATTCCAGACTTTTGTGACCTGTAGACTAAATAATCTATCACAAAAAATTAGTCTGTAAAAGTAGAATAAGCTTGGAACGAAACCTGAGTTTGTAACCGGTAGAATATTTTATAGGGATGGACAAAATGAAACCTGAATTTGTGACCAATAGAGGTATAAGTTAGAAGGAACGAAACCTGAGTTTGTAACCGGTAGAATATTTTATAGGGTGGACAGAATGAAACCTGAATTTGTGACAAATAAGGTATAAGATAGAAGGAACGAACCTGAGATTGTAACCGGCAGAATATTTTATAGGGTGGACAGAATGAAACCTGAATTTGTGACAAATAAAGGTATAAGATAGAAGGAACGAAACCTGAGTTTGTAACCGGCAGAATATTTTATAGGATGGACAGAATGATACCTGAATTTGTGACCAATAGAGGTATAAGATAGAAGGAACGAAACCTGAGTTTGTAACCGGCAGAATATTTAAAGGATGAACAAAATAAAACCTGAATTTGTGACCAATAGAGGTATAAGTTAGAAGGAACGAAACCTGAGTTTGTAACCGGCAGAATATTTTATAGGATGGACAGAATGATACCTGAATTTGTGACCAATAGAGGTATAAGATAGAAGGAACGAAACCTGAGTTTGTAACCGGTAGAATATTTATAGGATGGACAAAATGAAACCTGAATTTGTGACCAATAAAGGTATAAGTTAGAAGGA